GGGGGGGGGGTTTCTCCCCTAGAAATAGTGGCTTGTCTATAAAGTTTGAGACACTGCGCACTCTAGCAGAACGCTGCTGTATTTTGAATTTCTGATTAGCAACAGAGAGGAAAAGCAAAGGACACACAAATCCATGCTAATGAGATATGGAGCTGTTCATTCTTAGGTGACTAGTTCAAATCCAGTCTTGGTCAGTAGAGACTAAAATATAGCTCTGTTCATTGACCTCTATAGAGTGAATCTGTGGCCTACTAGAGTAGACATTAATATTGCAATCTGATGGGTAGTCACAGTAATTACCAGTATATTAAAGATTGTATCAGCACAAAGACAGAATTATGTTCTAGGTCAGGATTGAGGATACGGCCTCGCAGTGTGCAACGGTTCATACTGCTGCTGCTGCGCTGTATTATATGCATGAAGAAAGATCTTTGGTGCCCCACACTGTCATTCTGACACAATTCAATGTTATGGATGTAAATACATCAAATAATAAATTCAATATTTGAAGGATTAAAATATTAAAAAGAATTAGCGTAGGATAAAGTAACATCAACAAGTTTCCCTAATTCAGTTAAGCAGAGAAGTGGCCCTGAGGGAATTATCAAAGGAAAGGATTTCCAACTAACGTCATGGCATTAAACCCAGTATGTGGCATGTCAGCGGATTTGAGGGCTGACACACTTAGGATTCTGCTATGAGGAAGGGCAACGTGCAGCTTCTGAACCAGTGCAGGAATTTGAGGTAGAAAACTGAGGTGAACTTGAGTATGTCAAGTCACCAGTTTCTTGAAAATGTAGCTGTCTGGAGGTTCAAAAGCTAAATCAGGCATTGAAATTAATATTTCTTTTAAAAACCATGTTGGTCTTGATTCTCCTTTAAGCTGCAACCCTTTTGCACTGCCAGGGAGCTTAGTGTTAATGAAATTCAGTCATAACATCTTAGTACAGTAGCTGAAAGCTTTTTTCTCTGCTTTGCTGGGGAAAAAAACTGTCATGAAGGCCTAAACAGAACCAGAATGAGGAAATGTGCATGCTGTGAAACTGTATGATGTAATCCAGTGTATTTTGACTTTCCAGTAAACTGCAAATATTTTGATTAAGACAATTATCAGGCTGTAATAGACAGTGTCCTCTATCATAGCAGAAAGTATGAGCAGATCAAGTACTACTAGCAGATCAAGTGCTGTACACTGGGTTGGCCAGGCCACAACATAGAGCCCTGTTCCATTATTGATTTTTTTTTGCAGTCACCAGTTTTCTCTTTATTATATTGACATGGTGAGCTCCTTAGGGCAGGACTGCATTTTAATTCTTTGTTTGTACTAGGCCTAGCACAGTATGGTCTTAATTCATGGTTTTGGCCCTTAGGTGCTATTGAAATTCAGAACAATAATAATCACTTTAAGAGATCCCATTATGTATTATGGCACCATTGTGATAAATCCTGTAGAAATATCTGGCTAGGAAGTTCAGTCATTTCCACTTACTTATTTCAGTTTCAGAAGTACTTATAGTTATGTTCATACGGGGCTTGCACTAGTTCAGCTGAAAGTTAACTCTTGCAACTTTCTCCTGTAGATAAGAGCTGCCTGACCACTTATCTGAAACTATATTTTCAAGTATCAAACAACTTAGGGATGTTTCCCTTGTTCTTCTTAGAGTGAACATCAACATATAGAACAGTAATTTTCAACTTTGTGGGACTCAAGGCACCCCTCACTAGACTTGAGGCACCCCTCCATAACATTTGTGAATTGAGAGACACTCAATTTCAAAAACAAATTCATATATTACTGTGCTTACCCCCTTGCAGAGGGGCTGGCAGTGAAGGCGAGAGGTCATTCAGGCAAGGACGAGCCTGAGCCTGCATTTATCTACTTAGCTTACATACTTATCTCTGTACACCTCACACCTCGCAGTACCCTACAAAGCATCTGGCAGTACCCCAGGAGCCCCCAGCACCCTGGATGAGAATCACTAATCTAGAATGTGTGGGGATGTAGAGAATTTGGCACCCTGATGAGGGAGTGACAAGTTTTCTCTATCAGACTCTGCCTTTTTTCACTGAGTTCACTTTCACAGTATTGCAGCTGTGCTAATACTAGATGAGTAAGGTGGGTAGGTGCTTGTCAGGACAGCTTCTCTTGGTCTGCTGTCTGGTACCAGGTAAACCAGTACAGCCTGCTCTATGATTGGGTTGTCGGTGACTAAATTGGTGCCCCCACCTGGGCTAGCCTGGGTGAGGAGGATATGTGGACACCCAACAGGACTAAAAACAAGACCTGTCAAAGGTTGGATGAACACATTGTGAGCCAACAACCATCCATACCTGGAGAGGAGATGAGCACCATCAGGTTGCATTGCATCACCAATGATGCAAAGCAACTCAACTAAACTAGGAGGGTTGTTACACCATCTGAGGTGCCTCAGTGGCTGCAGCAGCCTCAGGACTGACTTGACTTGAAGATGGGTAGGGCTACTTTGACTCTCTCAGGCCAACTTTGGCCTGAGAGCTGGAAGAAATGTGGAAGGGGTGAGGCAGAGTATCACTTGCTACACTCTGCAGCCCTGTGCAACTGATTCAATCAGCATAGCTTAAATGAGCCCTTAGCCCCAAGATCTGCTCAGCTGCATGGAGATTTTCAACTAAGAATCTGGCCTGCTTTCTTTAAATGCTGCCACATTAACAGCCATAAATTCACCCTTTGCTCACTCGCAGGCATAATGCTGTATTTCTTGCTGTCATTCCTAAATATATCACCTCAGGAAGATTATGCATCTAGGAAGGATGCTGCAAATTTGAAAGCATGATAATTTTTCATGGCTTGTAAGTTACCCTACTTGTTAAATTTGAGGGCAGCTAAACAAAAAGAAAGACATTTATTATCTTCCTTATTATCTTATATTATTTATTGGGTCTGATTATCCCAATTCAGCTAAAAGAGTCTTACCAGTTTTTTTGGTTCAAACTGTGTCTGCATATTCATTGACAGATGACGTGTGGCTTCTTTCTGTAGAGTCAACATGTTGGGGGAAAAAGACTGGAAAAATATTGGAACAAAATGCGCACTTTCTGGGTTTGTGCCCAAGTAGTACAAACTTATTCTCTCCAGCAGGTCATGCTGTACAACACCTTCCACACATACATCTGAGTTGAGTATTTCAGGACCAACAGGATGCTACAAAATAGTACTAATAATATATTAATATTTTATATATTTTAATGACTTTCACCATAAGCCTATGATATACGTGTGCCCCAATAAGCAGCTGGTTATGTGTTTATGGTAAGAACACCCAGGCTACTTGAGGTTGAATTCATTAGCGTAGGGCTATCTAGGTAGTGGTCCTTGTACTGCATCTAGCCTGCAAGGGATTAAAGTTTGGCTCCAGACTTTTGTCTGGCCTCTGCTGCTCCCATTGCCCTGGCTGTGGCAGTGGTCCCTGGAAGAGAAGAGCATGATGGGAAGGCCTGGTGAGCTTGCTGCCTGTGCAGCAGCACCAGCAGAGGGTGCTCATACTTGCCTGCATTGCAGCAGCAGAGGGGGTAATTGCCTGCATAGTGATGTCAGCAGGTGGGCTCACACAGCAGGGAGGAAAGGCAGAGGAAGGAGGGGGCTCATGTGGCAGTGATGGGGGAGGATTGCCTGCACAGTAGTGGCAACAGTGAGGCTCACATAGCAGTGGTGGGTGGAGAGGAAGGGGCTTGCCTATGTATTGGTTTGAAGGGGGTTGGGTGGGGAAGGCACACGTGACAGAAATGCTGGGGTGATCACAAACATGGTAGTAGCAACAGGGGACCTCATGTGGTGGTGTAGGGGGCAGGGAGCCCATGCTGCCCTTGTAACATGCAGCCCGTGCAGCGTGTGACCTGGAACCCATGAGCTCCACAGCATGTGGCCCCCAGCCACTCTGAAATTAGACAGCCTTGCATTAGGGGACCCTCCTACATGATGGTCTCCTTTCACTGATCTGATAAGTTGGGAGAGAAAATAACTTTTTCCTAAAGGATGGGGTGAGGTAGGATAGAAGAGGAACCAATCTACATCCTACCTCCTGTTGTAACTCTGAACTGCAAATCAGCTTGGATAGACAGATCTTGGCAAGGAGGAGCGCAGACTGCAGGGTTTGCTTATTCTGCATCTTAGTCAGTGTTGGAGCCAGGATATGTGGAAGTCTGTGAATACTCTCAGATGTATGTAGGTGGTGACATAAAAGGTCCTGTGTGTGGTCTAGAGAACAGTGCACTGCACTGTGACTGAAGATCTGGACGCTGTTCTTGATTCTGCTGCCCAGTGTCTCCTTTGCCCTGTGCTGACTTCCTTTGCAAAGTGCTTTGAGATGTACTGATGATAAGTTCTGTATGAAAACTAGGTATTGTTTTATGAAAAGGCTTGGCAGGGAATGGTGTACTTGTGGCACAGTGGGCAGCTGAGCTGAGGGCATTGTTAATTCCTAGCCTCTAAGATTACTATTTTTTTTTCAAAAGCAACACCAGCCTTAGTATTTTGGAGTGGGCCTTTCAAAACAACATCTTATTTTCCCCTTCCTTCAACAAAGTGTAACTGATTCCTGTCCACTAGGCTCTTGACATGATGTGCATAGTAAACCTGGGGATTTGGAGAACAGGTATATGTTTTTATTGGTGGAAAAGTAGATAGATATAGGAGCAGTTGAGGGTGGTGGGGAGTGAGGGGAAGTGTTCTTTATATGTTCTGTATCTTGAAGCAGAACTGGACCCAGCTGCTTTTTCCAGCCCATCTAAGAGTTTGATTCAAGATGACATGAAAACTGAGACACTGCTCAGTGAAATCCATAACTGTTGAAAAAGCAGGTGCTTGGAAGTTCCCACAACATCCCCAAAGGTCACCAATGTTAAGAATGTAAGTTCTGTATGAAGGTGCGCACAGATTGGGTAAACAGCACCTTTAACAACTTATTTGAATATGTTATGAGGGATTTTCAGATGCAGCATTTGTCTGACTCTTCTTTTAGCACTGGAAGTGAAGTTAGGATGAAGTATTTCTGAAATCCTGTCAATAGCTAACTGCCTGTTTAGTACACACAATTATTTTCTTTGAATGCATTGGATTTCTAGACTGGGATCAACAAAGTGACATATGCCCACCCAGAAGCTTTCAGATTTCTGCTGGCATACAGATTGCAATCAAGTCTACAAAAGAAATATATTTCTGTATGCTACTGATCCATAAATACAATCCCTGCTTAACGCTGTTTCACTTAGCGCTATTTCGCTATAACACTCGCTTTACATCGATACTCAATTCCACTTAGCGCTCAGCGAGTTTTGTTACAATGCTCATAGGCATCATGCAACACCATCTTGGTTCATCAGAAACTTTTTGTTTCACTTAATGCTATTTCGCTTAACGCTTTTTTGGGAACCAATTAAGAGTGCTAAGCGGCAGTTGCCTATACTGGTTTTGTTGCTGATTTGTGGTCTCTTGCTTCATTCATCCTTACTGTGAACTTTATATAAAGCCCATTGAAGTGAACAGAAAAAACTTTGAAGCCATCTTTGCAAGAGGAATTTAGGCACCTAGACGGGTATTCGAATCCATGTACTTCACCTCTCATAAGAGTGCCTTACACACCAATCTAAAAGTGGGGTTGGGGTGAGGGCACTCTTTTGGATGGAACTATTTCACTTTGAATAGAATAAATAAATGTCCATTGGAGCAAGGACTGGAAGCCAGCTTCCCCCCTCCCAGGGGAGTGCCTTAACTTCTGACATTCTCTCTCAGCAGGTGAATATTGAATTATGATATTAAGCAGATGGACCTCAAGCCCAATCCCTGAGTAAAGAAGCTTCTTCTTACCTATCAGTTGGGCATTGTGGCCAGCACCTCTGGGTGGGCTCAAATCCCCAGCCTTTTAGTTAATTACCAAACACACTAGCTTATTGTCCACAGGGACACCAGATTGCAGTGCCTAAGTCTTGCCAGGTAAATCTAAACCCCATTTCATCCTGTGGGCTTTATTATTTCTAAAAGAGAGGATGCATGCATGCCTTTGCTACATATTTTAAAATATAACCCTCCCTCCTGGGCTGCTCCAGGAGGCTGTAGACAACTGCCTGGCATAATTTAGGGAGATCTGGATCTTCCTCTGATGCCTTGTAGGCCAGAGAACTGCCTGGAGCCTCCCTGACCTGCTCTTTATGTCGGTGCTTGCCATTTGCAAAATGCTTGGAGAGCACCCTTACCAAGGTCTTCCTAAAGGAGTTCCTGGGGATACACAGTATTAGATCCCCGTACCTGGTTTAAAACAAGCATGAGAATCACGTCCCTGGAGTTGAAACATAGAGGTTGTATTATTAACAACAAGGCCAGAACAGGTAGTGATGATGCTCATTCCCCTTCCTCTTTATTAGCATTGTAGTTAAGGCATTTACCTAGATACTAGGAGGTATGCTTGCATCCTCTGCCTAAGGAGCTGCAAATCTACATCTCCCAACTTCTGGAGATGTAACCACTAGGCTATAGGCTGCTCTGGGGGGGTGAGGGGGGAAGTACCCTATTCCCATTTAACAGCTCTGGTGAAGCTGTGACATTGTGCAGAAAAGTATTCCAGATTCATTGCACCGGAAAGAGGGAGCATGACTCTCAAGCTCACTGGTTAGTCTATTCAGCTGGAAGGATGAATCATGTTTGTTCTGGCCTCGACTTCCAGGACTACTTGTGCATTTTATGCAACACTGGCTTATGTAAAATACAGAAATAGTGGTGGTTGAAACAGGGGGTGCTACTTCCCAGCTGAGTGCTCAGGTTTATGCAATGTGCTTCATTTTGTGCATGTTGTCTCTGGCCTGACAACCCTCAGATTATTTTCTTAACTAAAAAATAGCAGAACTGTAGACTTCTGAAAGTATGTTAAACAGCTCTGATTGAGGATGTAGCAAATCTCTTTCCCAAACCACTTAAAATTTCCCAGAAAAGCAGTGCAAACCAGAAAAGCAGTGCATTAGCTGGACCCTGACAAAGGAATGTAAAGATTTCGGGAGGGCAGAGAGCAAGGAGAGGAAAACTGGGTTTAAAAATGGAAAGCTTAACTGTAGAGAAATTTCTGTTGCTCCCTAAATATTTTCTTTCTCTTCTGGAGCTTGCAGGGATCATGTACAAGGAAGGTGGTCTGCAGCATAGGGCTGATCACAGCTGTATTTATTGGGGCTAGTACCTGTTACCACAGAGTCCAAAACTAAGTTCCTCAGAACCTGTTCAGCCTCTGTCTAACCTCGGAGGTACCTGGAGCCCCTAAAGCCTAGTTCCACAAAGGGGACATAGCTGGTGCAGCGTTGAGCATTGCAGCATGTAACACTTAAGCTCTTAACAAGAGCTACCAAAGAAGTGAGTAGGAAATGCTGAGGATGAGGTGTTATAAGTCTGAACATACTCACCTACACTGACAGCTTTGAGCTCCGCAAGAAACAGAACAGCAATGGTCATTTTCATTTTCGGCCCAGCTGGAGGGCTGTAGCTGCACTACAGCAACTTGGTGGAAAAGCCTACTGGTTAGAGCATTCAACCACACAGATGTCTGAGAATCTGCAGTCTGCTCCAGCGCTACAGGTCAAAAGGGGGCATCAGGATGCTCTTGACACTTATCACAATTTTGTGTGGGATCCAGCTACTGAAGGAGCAACAGACCCCAGTGAGATAGAGGGAAAGCCTCATTTGTGAGTCCCAGTAGGGCTTAGGCAAGTGCTATTGAGATTAGGGTATTTTGGGCATGTGTGGGTTTTAGGTGCTTCCAAGATTTGTCAGCAGCTGAGCAGGGGTTTTGGAGATCTATATTTTGTGTTGAAGTGTCTAACGTGGCAATTAGGTACACCAGAGGTACTGTGGACTTACATTTTCATGAATGTAGTTTCCCAGGTGCCTAAATCTGTGCCTAAATCTAGGCAGGAAAATGCTCATCTTACTTGTAGAGCCTGCACAGGTGAATCTTCTCAGAGCATATCTACTGGATAACAAAGCAGAGACACAGGAGGCAGTGTCATTGCCAGTGCCCTCTTGTGGAATAGCCCAGTGACTAGACCATTTGTGCAGGACATTAGAAGCCTGCTATTTAATTCACTCCTTTGCTTGAGGGACTTTGAGTCGTATTTCTCACACTCTAGGAAGGACAGTTCCAGGCATTGGACAAGTTGCACATCTCAGACAAAGGGAGGCTGTGCTTCAAGGAATATTTATTTATCGATTCAACCATTCAATGTTGTCCACAGGAGATAGGAGAGATTGTGTTAGTCTCACACCAGAATGCTAAACACCCTAAGAGTAAGGGGTGACCCTTACACCCTAAGAGACCTACATTCAAGACCCTGCTCCAAATAAGGTAGAGTGAGGATTTGGAAAGGTTTGTGCCCTAACCACTTGGCTATTGACAGTAACGAGGAATGGGATTTCCCTCTTTTTTCACACAAAATCTCAAGCAGTTAGTTAAGTAATTATTAGGCAAGGTATAGATCTGAAGGCGCAGATGGAAGAGCACTTTCCCAGCCAGCACTGGAGGGTGGGCTGGAGGATTAGAGGCCCCCACCCCACCTCAAGGGAGCTTCAATCCACCTGCTCCACCCTCCAGCACCAACTAAAAAACCCCAGACTGAACTCCCTCCACTCCCTTCCCTGCTCCCATTCTGAAGACAGTGCCAGAGCAGGGCTGAGCTGCAGTCAGCCCAGCCCTGTATACAGACACAAGGTACTGAAGATAACTTCGTTTTGATCATCTTCATCTGAACCCTCAGACAACAAGGGTTCAGAGTTTCATGGGACCGGTCCCTTTTAAAGCACTCTGCAGTCATGCACTTCTGTCTGGTCATGGCTGTAGAGCACTTTCAAGGGCCAGATTGACTGAAAATTGACACTTCTGTCTGCACCTTGAGATCATCCTCAGTATTTCCCACTGACTATTTTACATGCCCTGTAGTCAGTTTGAGTAAACCCATTATTAGGCACCTAATTCTCAAAGAAGCCTGACTACCTAACTTGAGGCTGTGAATTCCACAGGGCAACAT